TCCCACATGCCGTTTTCACTGACCCTGCCAGCGGAGTAATTAATACCCCGTTTTAAAAACATAATACTATTTAGTTCCGGTGGAGGCCCCCAAGTCCCAGTGTTTGGAGTCTACGGGGAAAAGGGGGCTGCAGCTCGGACTGAGTGGGACAAGTTTTCCTGAAATTGAGTGAGTGGGTCGAACTTTCGGCCCGGCGCAGTAGTAGTTTCTATTTTCTTGTCCATTATCCCTATATAGTCCCAATATACCATACTACTTTTCATTTTCTTTTCCATTCTCCAAATAGAACTTCTGTACATCCCTGTATAACTTTAAATGTAGTTTCATGCAGTTTCCATTTTCCATTATTCCCTATAGAGCCCCTGTATAACCCCTATATAACCCTCATGTAACCCCTATATATAACCTGTACAACCCTATAGGACCCCATTATGACTAGATACTACGGCGTCCTGTTGCTCAGGACCTCCTCAGGATGAAGTTCTTCCGGAACAAGTGGGGTTTTGCCTTTTCATCCTCTTCTTCTTCTACGATTATTCTACTTATACACTTTTTTTTCGTTATTAGTGCTATTATTCTTGTTGTTACTTCTACTATTCTTCATATTACTACTAATTTTTATTTTGGGGGTTTTGGAGAAGGGGGGGAGCCCCTGGACAGGTATAATGTGTTTGGAAGTCTTTACATCATGCACTCTTGGCATGGCAGGAAAGTCTACGTTCCTCAAGTTGCTGGATGGTTCTCTGGAGCCAACCAAAGGCTTTGTCAGGAGAGCTAAGCTAGGGTTTAGGGTTTAGGGCCTAGGGTTTGGGGTTATATGCCCCTAGAACCCCGACAACACCCCTATATAACCCCTGTTAAGGGTTTAGGGTTGAATGTCTTTGAAGCCTTGTGCTGATCTTGCTCAGGAGACATGCAAAGCTTCATCTGGCTAGGCCAGCATGAGATTGAGAGATATTCCTTTGTAGGATGACCTTTCCAGGTTTACACAGCATCACATTGAGATGATGGATCCAGCTGCGCCCTCAAAATGTCTGGTCGCTGCAGATGCGCGAAAGCTGCTGCAGATGCGTGAAATTTGCAGCCAATGCTTCTGCTGTTGGCGCAGTTCCTCACAAGGATTCCGATGCCGTTACCCACATGCGCAAGCTGGGCTCTGGTGGCATCAAGGAGGCCAAGTCACCTCGAAAAAGTTTAGCTGAGGACGACTCCCGCATGTTCAGCTCTGTGAGGATGGGACCAGCGAGGTCACCATTGAGGAGGTGATTACCCAAGCGTTCTGCATGGCCGAGGGATCTGCTGCATTCGCAGATGGAAAGCATAAACATTTCCTAAACCCTCAATCCAAAGATTCCATGCCATCTGGGATCGCGGCCTTCCAGCAAAAAGTTTACCTGAGCTATAGTTTAAACTCCTAAGGCGGGGTATATATGGGATTATATAGAGGACTAGTATAGGATTTATGAAGGGTCTCACTTGGCTGCATCCTGCATTTCTGTTGAGGCACGAAAATACCTTGGCCGTTTCGGCCTGCACGGAGACCTTGCGCTCCAGCCGGTAAAGCCTGGCACCCAGCAACTGAACATTATTAATATTATTATTATTACATTATTAGTATTACTACATTATTATGATTACATTATTCTTATTATTACGCTATTATTATTATTACTTGTATTGTTATGACTACTCGTACTACTCCTATTATTGTTGCTCCCATTATTATCACTATTGACATTATATTTGGGGGTTGGCAATTTTGGATGTCTGCTCAACCAGGTTCCTGAGTGGTGGCCAAAAGAGCCGCCTGGCATTCGCGGAACTTGCTTGGTAGAAGCCTCAATATATTACCCCTATATAGCCCCGTTATAGTAGTTTCCATTTTCTTTTCCATTATCCCCTATATAACCCCAATATTTTCCCTATGATCCCTATATAAACCCTATATAATCTCTATATCATCTCTATATAATTCCTATATGATCCCTATATAATCCCTATGTAACCTATATAAACCTTCTAGAAGCCTCAGGTTTACCGTGGTTGACCGGTTTGAGTCAGCTTCCCTCTGAGGAGCGCTCCTCACATTATGCTCCTGGATGAGCCGACGCCGGCTGCTCATATAGGGAACACCTTAATAGTAATACAAACAACAATAGTAAGAATAGTAGTAGTCAGAGTAATAATAGTGGTAAGAATAACAGTGATATTATGTTGCAGTTATGCTACAGTCATATTATAGGATGTGATCGTATATTCGAATTATACACATGACCGCTCAGCAGATTCCACAAGGAACCATTTGGACCTCGAAACAATCGAGGGCCTGGCTATGGCTCTGAACAAATTCGAGGCCTTCGGGTTTCGTAAGGAAAAGTGATGTGAGCCATAGTCTAAACTCCTTGAAGGGGGCTCATCTGGGGGATTATACAGGGGATTATTTTTTCTAAACTCCTTAAAGGTGGTTATATAGGGGATTATCTAGCTGAGTATCAAAGGTCATTAAGGGGTATACCAGGAGCTTAGACTACAGCTCATGTGGAAGTTGAGCTGGTGTGACAGGGAGGCGTCGTGCTGGTGAGCCACGATGACCGGCTAGCGCTGCACTGAAGATTTTGACTAGTGTCTAACGTGTACTTCTGCACCGTAATAGTAACACTAACAATAATAGTAAGAAAAGTAAGAATAATGGCAAGAATGGTGGTAATAATGGGAGCATTATTATCGGGATCAATTAGCAGTTTCTCCTCACCCTTTCCCAGGTTTCCATGGTGGCAGATGAGCTCTGGGTGGTGACGCCTGGTAAGTCGAAGGCCATTATCATGCACTGCATTCATTGGCGGACAGCCAAGTGAACTAGTGATACCTGCTGATGGTGGACAGGACGTGCCTGGAAAGGTCACCGTCTTCGAGGGCTCCTTTGAGGACAAGCATGAGTGGTGTCTGCGAGCTGTGCACTGTTTGCACTCTGCCCTTCTGCATTTTCTGCAGGAGTATCGAGAAATGCTCCGCAGTGACTTCATCAACAAGAATCTCACAAGTGGCGGCCGCATCAAGCGAGCTTCCTAAGGCAAGGGGTTCAGCATCTGAAGCCCAGCTGCTTGCTACTGCCTGATGTTCCGGCTTCGTGTCTGCAAGGCTTTGGGATCCTTGCAAACTGCGACGTGGTGCAGACAGCAGTGTATGCAGAAGGAACAGATCCAAAGCTAAACAGATGCGCGGCCGTTGCTGTGTTCTTCTCAGCTTGGAGTTTCTTCGTGGATCCCAGTACCTGTGTTTGTTCAAAAACCTGGTAAGTTTCCGCAGGGTGAAGCTTTGGCCTCAGTAAAACTGGGCTTGCGGCCCAGTGACGTGCTTTCGACATGCAACTTGTGGCAATCATAGTGTTAGTGCGTGTCATTGGGCTGAGAGTTGCCAGTGGAGGCTGAAGCGCTACACCGAGCAGATACCCCGAGTAACAGAGCAAAGAAAGACTCCCAAACCAGAACTGCAGCCCCACAGTTTCGTTTGCGGTATGCAGACGGCGAGGAGGATGTCTCAGGTTGCGGAGTCTGAGGCACGATTTTCCATCCTTGCTGTACCTGTTTGTATTGATTTGGTAGCAGGTCTCACGTGTTAGGAGCTGAAGAACAGCTCTGCCCACGGTTGAGACAGCAGGCTTAGCGGACTCTGTGACTGGAGTCCTTGAAGTGTCGTTGGCGCAGCGATACATGGCCAGCTCACCTAGGGTCGAGCAGCCCCGGACAGGTTGAATACGATTTTGCGAGACACCATATTGATGCGTGTGCTCAGCGCAGCAAAACAAGCATCCTCTCTAAGGCGAAGCACGGACTGGCTTTGCGTGTGATCAGTTTTCTTGTCTTTTTGCTCGTCATTCTTGGCTCAGCTTCGTCGGCACATTCCTTGTCAAGTAAGACTCAAGATGAGGCTCAAAGAATTCAAAATTATGCATGGCTCACGCGCAGGCGATATTGGTACTTGAGGTCATTTCTGCCTTTAGTTCATGTGAAAAGTCCCATCTATTTGCTGAAGTAAGAACCCTCAGCATCCCGAGGTAGTTTGCCTGCTAGCATGGCAAAGATTTGTATGGCTGCTGATGGTCCCAGGTGCTGTTCTTGCGAGTGCAAGCAATTTATATGTTGTAAGCGCTCAAGCATAAGTAGAGAAGGGGAGCAGCATGTTTCGCATCCGGTCGTTGGGCTCACAGAAAGTGCTGAGTTCTACGCAGCACAGCTCTAGTTGCTGAAGAGAGACCACCGGCTCTCAACAGGTGCACAGGGTCAAGATCTCTGTTGTGGCAGTTGCAATGGGTCGGAGACTGGAGACGCAACCCGTTGGCAGGTCTCCTTGCAAAATCGCCATGGAGCTTCGAGTTGGAGGAAAGTTCCGCCTTGGGCGCAAGATCGGATCCGGATCCTTCGGTGACATTTACATTGGCACCAACGTGCCCTGCTACATGCAGTCTGAGGGACGAGCAGCGCAATATGGCAGTTGAGCGGTATTTGCATTGCTGGAGAGTAAGGTGCAGACCAGCGAGGAAGTAGCTATCAAGCTGGAGTCCATCAAGTCCAAGCACCCGCAGCTACTTTACGAACCTTGGTATGCCAGTTCCTGTCTGAAGAAAAATAGATTGCTATGTAGAACTTGACACGTTCCACAAGTCAACTTCTGATCACTCTGTAAGTCTCGTGTGGCCCTGCAGAATTACGGTGGGGCCGGTTCAGAATCCCAAAATCTCATTCAGATATTGGGGCGCCCTGGATCCCAGGAGTCCAAGCTCTACAAGATCCTCGCAGGATAACTTTCCGTGTCTGCAAAATGTCGTCTGCAGTGCAGTTGAGGGCATGCCTGGTTGTATTGTTGCACGCCTGTGTGCGCTGTCATGTAGTATGTAGTTGGCATGTGCTTGCCAGTGAAATGTTATGGAGATCATGGAGACTTCCCGTGTGGAAACATAGCAAAACAAATGCTGCTCACAACATTTAACGTTACAACCTTTTGCCATCTCAAAGGTGTGCTGCGGTTTGTCATGTGCAAAATTGGGCTCTGCAACCTAAAAGCAGGATTGTTCAACATCCAACACACAGCGTGAGCATGACATCGATACACGAGAGTACTGTGTACCCTGCTTGGCTGCGCTCTCGCTGCTGCGTTGTCCAGGAGGCGTTGGTGTGCCAAATGTCCACTGGTATGGAGTAGAGGGTGACTACAACGTCATGGCCGTTGGCTCAAATTTTGCTTGAGGATCTCAACTTGTTGTACTTATTCCGCAAGCCCCAAGCTGCAAAGGTCATTGACCTCCTGGGGCCCTCGCTCGAGGATCTGTTTAGCTTCTGCAACCGCAAATTCAGTCTCAAGACTACCCTCATGCTGGCCGACCAGATGATCAACAGGCAGTCCTCTTCAGATGTCTGCTTTGAGTGCCATGCTTGTGGCATTGCTTGTTTTGCCTGGCTCAGGGTGGAGTACATGCATGCAAAGAACTTCATTCACCGGGACATCAAGCCTGATAACTTCCTGATTGGACTGGGAAAGAAGGCCAATCAGGTGCACATCATTGACTTTGGCCTGGCGAAGAAGTACAGGCCAAGTTGTTTGTCGCCAAATTCCTGGCCTTTACAAAGTCTTACTCTGACAGGGACCCCAAGACGCAGCAGCACATCCCGTACAGGGAGAACAAGGCGCTGACTGGGACTGCCCGATACGCCAGCGCCAGGGCCCAGGCGTTTTTTACAAGGTATGGGCCATGATCTGACAGGGGGGATGCGTCAGGGCATGCGTACCAAGGTGAACACGCACCTGGGCATCGAGCAGAGTCGAAGAGATGACCTGGAAGCTGTGGGTTACGAATCTTGTCTGCAAGGTCTGAGAGTAAACTCTGTGCGGGACCCACGCTACACCGACAGGTGCTCATGTACTTCAATCGCGGCAGCCTGCCTTGGCAGGGTCTGAAGGCAAACTCCAAAAAAGAGTGCTTTGACTGCAGTGGGCAATCGGCGCCTGATCTTGTCTTGACGTGGCCTGTTTCGGAAGCGACGCGGTCCTGGGCCTCCAATTCCAAGGAAGTATGAGAAGATCATGGAGAAGAAGATGTCCACCCCTATCGAGGCAGGAGCTGCATGCTGATGCAGTCTCACAGCCTCGGCTGCAAAGTCTCAGCGTGGACGCACGGGTGGTTGCCTGCAAGGTGTTGTGCAAGCACTTCCCTTGCGAGTTCGTTGCTGGCTCAGGGTTGCAGCTCTGACTTGGGAAGCAGCTCCTGTGACGATCCCAAGGCTACATATCTGAACTACTGCCGCAGCCTGCGATTCGAAGATCGACCAGACTACGCCTACCTTCGTAGACTGTTGAAGGACTTGTTCTTCAGGGAAGGCTACCAGCAGCCTGACGCAAATGGTGAAGAACTTTCTTTAGCCTGAAGGAAGATGAGCAATGTTTTCTGCTTGAGGTATGATTTCGTTTTCGACTGGACCATCCTGTACCTCAGCATTCTATTGCAGTGTCGGTGCGTTTTTGATCATTCTTTTGGAATCGGAATGTTGTATCACCGGAATCTCTCAGGAACTACCAGTCGAAGGAGGGCGCCAGCAGCCGACGGCGCGAGGACAAGCCCTGCCAGAGTAAGGCAGAAAGTTGCACTGGAACCTACGCTTGCAGGGTCAGGGGGACTTAGTAACTAGGTTAATAATGGGGATAATTGGGGTTACTTTCTGGGCTACAGGGGTTATTCAGCTACTTACTGAGTCCCCCTGACCCTCCAAGTGCTGACACCAAACTCTTGCAAACCAGCACCTAGAGCAAGATCAGGATCCACTACTGGCAGAGTGTCCAAGACCGATAACTTTTTCAGAGCTCATATCAATCAGAATCTGCCAAGCAGCATTTCTTCCAGAATTTGTGCAACTCCCTGATTTCTGTCTTCTTCTGGAAATACAAGCATCGACAAGAACTGCCAAACATATCGATCTGCTGGAATGAGAATTGAAACTTCAAGCACCTCACGCGGAAGAAGGCCTCAACTCAAAAAACAAACACCTTTGTTAAATCTCAGCTTCAAGTAGGAATCAAAACACGCGTGCGACCAACTTCTACTGATTACACTGCAGCTGGAAACGGAGTTGGCATACACAAGATTTGGTAGTTTCCCAAAACAAGGGGACCCTAATATAGACACCAAAATACTATACCCCATTTGTACACGTTATGGTAAGTGGTGTGACCGCGGGCAGTGCGGACTGCACTCTCCTTGTAGCCATGGCAATTCCATTGAAACACCTCATCAGTCATTCATCAGCTTGATCATTATTGTGCGCATACCTTTCGTTACCATTGTCCCTCCTTAAATTTGATGATTTTTGCAATTCTGGTTCTCCCTCTGCTTGAGAAAGACAAGGTCTGATGATGGTTGTTGTTGTACATGTAACGATCTTCATTTTGATGCAGCATCACCGTCATTTTGATCAACGTCATCATCCCTCACATTGTTGCATTGATTTGACATTTTGGCGCGTATTGTTTACAGTAGACTCATGATGGTTCCACACCCCAAACTTAGGAACAAAAGGATCCTTGGCATTGCTTCGCAAGTTTTTCATTTTAGGGCTCCAATCCCATCATTTCTCAGGCGTCATAAGATTTCCCAAGGTTCTTGAAACCTTGCAGCATCTAGATGAAAGAGCAGTTTTACCGATCAATGAGAGCAAATTTCGTGCACGCATCATCCTTGCGCATTTGGCAGATCACCTGGTCCTACTCATCTGAACATGAAGCGCGCAAGTATCTGATGCGCAAACTATGTTTTCCATTTTATTTTCCATTATCCCTACATAATCCCATTGTATGCCCGATCATTATTTAGTAGCTTCCACTTTGTTTTCCATTGTCCCCCATGCCTCTATCACTTGCTGTCAGCGAGTTGTTCGACAGTTCCTTGTCACCCGCACTGGCTGAAGATGAGTTGCAACTAAGGGACTTGATTTAAGTTACTGTATTGGGGAAACCATGTACATCATTGTATATACTCATTATGGTAATTTAATTAAGTTCCTGGCAGCAACCCAGCAAGATGAGTGGATTCTGAAGCAGCTCCCTGCATGGAGGCGTACATTTACAGTGGCACAGTTGCCTGAATGTTATGGTCTCGAACACGTAAACCATGAAGGGCCCAGCAGATGAAGCGTACAACAGCTGTGTCTTGCTATTGACATGTGAGCTATAGTCTAAACTCCTTAAAGGGGAGATATATAGGGGATTATATAAGGGACTACTACAGGGGTTATTAGGGGGGATGTAAGTCGTTGAGCAGTAAGTTTGTCGTGGCAGTAAACAGGCGTGAAACCGAAACTCCACTGCTTTGGAAGCTTGACAGTTATGATGTCAACAATGCTCTGCCTGATCGAGGACGAGGGTGCCGATGGGGACTGATTCGTTGCGATGCTTAGGATCCCGGTACAACACCACTACTCGGCACTGGAGATCCCAAGGAACTGCAGTTGGGGCAGCTTTAGGTGAATTTCCCGTGCAGATCACTGAGTAGCTTAGATCTCTTGTGCAGAGGGCGAGTTCGGTCCTGGCAATTTTTGAAGAGACGCCTAGCTCCACTTGAAGCAAAGTGGTTGGCACTGCTTGAAGCTGAGCTCGAGCCAGAAGCCTCGAAGGATATTCTCTTCATGCAACCAGCCACATGCCTACAGGGTGCAGTCTGTAAAAGTGGTCTTTCCAAGCAGCGTGGCATGATCACGAACCTGGCTCTGGTGTCAACTCCCCATGTCCTTGCAGATGTTGCAAGTCGAGATAGTTAAGCAACCCACCCATCCTAGAAGCAAGGACGGGAGAGCCAGCAATGAGTCTTCTACATAGCGAAGCTGTGGCTGGCCTGTACAGAGGTCTAAAAGTGTTTCTATGTGCTCAGTCCACATGGCTTGGTCTCGGCCCACTGCAAAACATCTTAGCCTAGCAGTATGCTAGCAGTATGCTAGCTGCTTGTGGAGCAAAGAAGCCATGGGGCGACGGTGCTGTGGAAGCTGGATACATGCAGTGCGCTGGAAGCACAGCGCATGAGGTCCTGCTTTCAGAGTCACGGGCCCTAACATGCACAACGTGCTGCTCCGTCAGAGAATCAGATGGCCTGTGCTCTGCTCGTCTCTTTAAGACTTCCCAAGAAGATCCAAGAAGCGTCCAATGCAACACCATTTTGTTTACACCTGGACTCAACCAGCAGACGACAGACCCTCGCCTTGGGTTTCACACGCGCTCTGCTGCTCCGCCTCGAGACTCACCTCTTCTTGAGCTCCGGGGTGCACAAAATGGCTTCTTGCCACAGGTTTCCTGACAAGAATGCCTGGCAACAGCACCTGGCCATTGTTAATTCCAGCCTCTTCTAAGATGGTCATTTGCAACTTTGGCAGGTGCGAGAATTTGGGAGGCGCAGCTGTCGCACCCACATTGCTTTGTCTGCTTGCAGAGAGATGCGGTCAGTGAGTTTTTTGCCTCACAGAATCACGTGCTTGCCATTTGGCTCAGTCGACCTGAAAAGAACCGTCGTTACGGCCGTTGCCCTCTCGCGCCGGTCTCGCAGCTCAGGAGATTTTTAAGCCCTGTGAACAGGGCTTTCCTATGAGCTATAATCCAAACTATTTCAAGGGAGTTGTATAGAGGACTTTATAGTGTTTAGGTGCAGGGTCTAAACTCCTTAAAGGGGGTTATATGGGGGATTATATAGGGGAGTAGTATAGGGGCTATGAAGGCGGATGCTAGGACTTTAGGCTATAGTAAGAGAGGACGGTTGCTGTCTACCAACCCTAAATAGTAGCTTCCATTTTCTTTTCCATTATCCCTACATAACCCCTATAAAAGCCTTATTATCCCTTGAAATGGTAGCTTCCATTTTCTTTTCCATTCTTGTTATATAACCCCTATAAAAGCCCCATAATCCCTTTAAAGTTATCTATAATAGCAGGATGTCCTTCTACCGGGCACTGAGCAAGTCGCTGCTTCGCGGGATGGCTGCGGAACGCGCCGTGATTCCCTGGTGCCGCCAGCACTGCTTGGATCCTGCTATAATATATGGTATAGTACGGATCCTACTATATCATAATAGGGTGTATATTGTGGTAAGTAGATGATATAAGTCCACAATAATTGAGAATCAAATGGAAGATAACATGCAAGTTGCTAAACATGGGGCAAAAATCAGATTTGTGCGTCATGAGGTACCATGAGCCTCAAAGCATGAATGCCTGGCAAAAGTTCTGCAAGGCTGGGTGTGTCTGTTCATGTCAAACGAGCACGCTGACCCGCTATGTCATCGGATCATTGAGGACACTCTGTATCCCGTCTGGTTCAAGTATGTCAAGGGCCCGTTTGACCGCTACGAGTCGGCGCCCAAGCATTGCTTCAAATATGGAGGCCTACAATGCTGTGTTTGCCGAATGGCTGTTTCACTGCAATTTGAGAGTCTGCTTTGTAGGGTGGCCTGAATACTTGGAATAATGGAGAATCAGCTGGAAAAGAAAAGGAAATGACATGGAAACTGGCTTGTGTGTACAGAGAGGTATGAGCACACCATTGCGGAGCTCCGCGGATATGGACTGATGCAGGCTGCGAGCTTCAAAGGGAGACAAGGCATGACATCCAAAATGTTGTGCACAGCCAGGATGATCAGCACAACGACAAGGCAGGGTAAAACTTCTTGAATTGCCTTTGGCTACAGAAGTTCTTCCCAGGAGCCAGTGGTTGAGCGCGCTTTGGAGTTGATGCCCCACGACTTGATGGTGGGCCGCTATCGTCGCTTGATGCGAGTGGCAGGGCTGCAATCATCTGCAAGCTTTCCTTTAAAGGCAGAGGCCTCCTGGAGCCAGTCTATCATGCTAAGGCACAGGAGATGTATGCCAAGAAGCTGCACTTGCCTCTGGCAGAGCAGCGCGCGTCTGAGTCGCTTTCATGGCTCTTGCAGCAACTCTTCACTGCTGTAAGCAAGGAATTATGATCCGATGATCCCCTATCTGGCGGGGGGCCCAGACTTTTTCCGCCGGGACAAATCTAGCACTAACAAGCCGGCTCTTCAGAAGTTCCGCCTGTGATATAAGGCTCCTTTCATAGAGGAGGCCAAGTTCCAGCTGCAGGAGGAGCTCGGTGCCGAAAACTAGAATCAAAAAGGCTGCCAGATTCACCATGTTAGTTGGGTCTCACCAGGAGCAAGAGCTCTTGCAGCAGCGAGCCTACAATGCCTGTGCATGCTCACCATATTCGATTTGAACGTATCACCAAGCATTGGCTGAGGTTCCATCCCTGGGATCGCCGCCTCTTCTCGGGCGGTACCACCGGCTTGGGTGAGTCAACGCCATACTCGGCTTTCATCTCCTGGTGATCTGCTCATATCTGCGCGGTACATGATTTTTCAAAGTGTGCTCACAGCAGTGGCTTGTGAACACGCTTAGAGAGCGTTAGCAAGACAAAGCAAGGCTGTTCACATGAACGGAGCAATGTTGTTTCAGAAGCCACTCTCCGCCGTGGTTCACTCCTGCAAGAGGAAGACACATGGTATGTGAGGGAGAGGCTTCACCGCTAGATTGGCTTGTGATCGACCTGCGACAGCACTGACCACATGATGATATAGCAATTTTGACAGTGACGGCGCTGTCCTGGTCAATTTGTAGCATTGTGGAGGTGAGTAGCTCAATACTGCGAATGGTGCAAAAAACCCGTCGCTGTGCCATCCTTTATTACAAGTGCAGCTGCAAAAAACAAAGTATCTCAGATGTTTGCTATCCAATGGACTTTCAGACGTGGCATCTTCGCAGGAGCTTTTCAGACTGACCCTTCCGTCAGGCGGGCATTTCTATTGACAGTCTGCAGTGTCCCGAGTCCATGGAACAGGCCAGAGGCTTCCAGCAACATCAGCCACATGCCCACCCTCTTGACCGTGCCATGCCCGAATTGGCATACTTTGGCGCATGGGCGAGTACTGTACTTGTGATGGCATCAAAGTAGCACGCGGCGGGTCAGGCCAAAGGACACTGGCAGGCCGAGCTGATCTCAGGAATTTCAGCCCCTGGTGAGTTTGAGCATGAATCGTGCACAGGTGCGCACGGTGAAGAGAGGCTGGGCCACACTGGCTCCCGCTTTGCAGGCGGGGCAACGCACGAGAGATCCTCCACAGAGCTTCCTGTTACTTGGCAGGATGCCCTGAGCACAGCAATGTCCAGAACAGAGGTCCCAAAGTTGTCGCTGGCCTGCACATGGTTCTCCTTTGACACCAGGATCGTGTGGAGATCCACATAGACCAAGCCAACAACAGGCCCGCTGCTGTTTGACTGTGGGACACCTCAGGACGGTGCACTGTACTTCACTTGCGATGAGGGCTTGGGTGGTGCCGGACCAGTCAAAAGATGTGGCCCGCCAAGCTGTGTCATGCCATACTGTTTTTTTCTACCGCAACGGGCTTTGCTTGCATTCTCTAACATGAGGCAAAGCCATCTGGCTTCTTGGTTTATGAGGCCGCCAGCCCGTATGAGGGAATCGCCACTATCGCTTTTCTGGTTGATAGGCCTTTCCGCTGGACCGGACCGTGGGCAAGGTGCAATGCGTGGTTTCGTTATTAACGTTGCTTGCGAACATTCAGAAGGAAGGTTACATCTGTTTGGGAGCTCCAAGGCAGGTGGAGAACCACCTCGGCCTGTGCGATGGCGGGCAGGCATTTGGCACTACTTGAAGAGTCTTGAGCAGTGAACTTGCATTCTGAACCTTGAACCCTGAAGTGTCGCAGCGCTTGGGCCTAAAAGAAGCTAGCTTTCTCAAGTTTGGTAGCGGAGCGGGCAACCGCTTCCGTGTAGATCCAGGCAGTAGGCTGCTGAGAGCCCGATAGCTCTGTGCTGCTGCGCGGCACTTCTGGACATCTTTGACACCACGATTTTCTTCCTCCTCCACGAGCAAATCTGGTGGTTCAAGACGAACACGGGCATCCTCCTGCCCAACCACCTGGGAAATTCGGAAAGGCCTGCCGGCTTTGGAGATCATAGCTGGCAGTCCTCTGTGAAAAGGCGAGCAACCCCGACTGCGACCGGGTGAGTTTGCCAAGGACAAGCACAAATCTTGCTTCTTTGCGTGCTTCTGATTTTCAGAGCCTTGGCGCAGTTCTTTGTGGCCCAGCTGTCTGCTGGAGACTTCGGCTCTTCGATTAAGATCGAGACCTTCGGCCCGAACGACTTCATCTCTCTCGAGAAGAATTTGAACAACTTCGGCCCGGACGACTTGGTCTTCTACGGCGAGACGCTCCTCCAGCACTACAAGAGCTGTGCCTTTGACTGTGCCAACTTCCAAGATTTGTGCAAGGGAGAAAGTTCAGGAAGCGCCTACGACCTGCACTTCGACGGGTCCCTCAACAACGCTCCTTCGGAGTGCTATTTCCTGTTCGGCGTCTACGGCCTCTCCATCGAACCGATGGCGTCTTCGTCGTCTACTCCGAACAGCACCGGCGTCCCGCTGCAGGAGTTCAGGCGAGACTGTCCTCCAGGGTGGTCTCCGGGGCTCCCTGACTATCCGCTGAGATTGTTTTTCGACAAATTAAAGCTTTGGCGCCAGATCTTTGATGGTGCTGACGAGCTGGTTGGTCGCTTGGTGGCTGGGAGATTGCAGGGCAAGGCACAGCGCTTGGCCCTTCAGCTTCGTTTGCCGAGACCGGACGGAGGCGTGGACGTTGGGTCGGATGCCTTGGTTCGGTTGTCAGTTGACGAGGTGAGAGACCCGACCAATCCGGCCATCATCCTCCAGACGGCAATACCGTCAGGGATACAATCACTCTGCAACTCTTTGAGGGATGCCTTCGGCTTCTCCGACCAAGAGCTGGTGTCGAAGAGCATAGAGGACTTCATGGAATTCCGCAGGGGCCGCATGGCTTTCTCCGAGTTTAGCATTGAGTTCGACATGCGGCTCGAAGAGGCCACGACTCGCGCTGGCTTTGAGATAAACGATGTGGCGACGTTTTACTTGTTCTTCGAGGCTGCGCAGCTGCCCTCCAAGTTGGTAGATGACATAAAGCTGCAGATCCAAGGTGACCTTGACCTGAGGCGATTTCAAGAAGCCCGAGCTTTGGCATTGCGTCTGGTTCACCGGGCGCAGGACAACCACGATGCCTACTACATGGGCGATGAGGACGATGACTGGGAAGACTCCTGGGCTGACGGCTGGTACGGAGACATGTACTGGCAAGACGACGTGGAACCTTGGATGGACGAATGGCAAGATGATGCTGATGGCTGGGATGCTCCTTTGGTACGATGAAGAGTACTACGGCAAGGATGAGTACTATGATGCTGAGTCGCGCGCGCCCTCAGAACCTCCTCCGACTCCTGGTGGCTCGCCCCAGCAGCATCACAGGAGGAGAGCTTTCCCACGCGCAAGGGCAAAGGCCGTGGATGCTCGGTCTGTGGTTCAAAGTGGCACTCTGCTGCTAGCTGCCCCGTGAACAATGGCAAGGGCAAAGGCGGCGGTAAAGGGCCGTCTAGCTACTCTGGCAGCAAGGGCAGCTATGGCGGCAGTGGCAGATACGGCAAGGGGTACGGCAAGCCTCGGAGTCAGAAGGGCTCTGGATACGGCAAGGGGAAAAGCAAGAAAGAAGCATGTTCGCTTCGAGGACGAGGGCCAGGACACGATCCTTCATCTCAATCGTCCCAAGGCTTCCCTTGCTACGGAGTCAACCGATGGCGCCACTGAGACCCCAGGCGAGGAACCAAGTGCCAGCACCTCGGTGGAGAAGCGTCTTGACTTCTCCTTTGCCATGGGCATCTTCTCTTCTCTGGAGAACTACCACACCGTGAAGGGTGACAAACGACGTGGTCTTCTGGTGGATCCCGGTGCAGCTTCTGGACTTATAGGTTCCGAGACACTCCGAGATCTTCTGAGTGTGCTTCCGCAGGCAAAGCAAGAGGAGGTGACTTGGAACCACCAAAAGTCACACAATGTGAGCGGGATCTCCGGCAGCCCTGAAGCGACCGTGGGTGAAGTGACTATACCGCTGACATTGTCTGGTGCCAGTGGTGCTTACCGAGCGGACGTTCTTGGCGGCGATGGCTCTTTGTGTCCAGCGCTGCTAGGCAATCCAGCTCTACGTCGCCAACGAGCGGCGATCCTCACGGACTACTTCGAGAATGGTGATGGTGTCCTTGTGGTTCAAAAGGCCGACCAAGAAAGACACTATCTCCGCATCCTCTTGACCGACTCCGGTCATTACCTTCTTCCTGTGGATGATCATTGCGATTTTACCGAGCAGGATGTCACCAAGGTGAGTGCGCAGCTTGGCATGTTTGCGGCTGCTGTGCGAGAGCGCTGGCCTGATGTTCGCCATTGCTTTCTCCAACAAGCATCCTGCTCAACTCCGGAACGTGAGCGGTGTGAACTACGACAAGAAGCGCAGCATGGCCTCTCAGACACGAGTTCAACGACCTTCTCTTCGACTACCTCTGCCGCGGAGGCAAATCTCAAAAAGACTGCCACTGCAAACAACCATGATGAAGATACCTCATGCACGACCACTGAGGATCCCACGACCACTGCAAGCGCATCCACATGTACTACCACTGAGGAGACAATAACCACAAAGACAGGAACCTCAGACACTACCACGGAGGAACCTTCAACTACTGCGACAGGTCGGGAGCTAGTGTTAGAGCTTAATGACTCAGGCACGAGTTCAGCGACCTTCTCAACGACTACCTCTGGGCCCTTTCGTCTTAGCTATGATCACTGCAAGCCGTTTCTCGAGGGCCCATTTGTTGGACGTGGACATACTGCGAGCGACTCCTGGTCCATCGAGGGGCACTGCCTGATTAGACATCATCGCTTACCTCGACGAGTTCTGTTTACGCCAAATGGCGCCATTGACTGTCCTGTGGACTATGATTGTATGACTGGGGAACGTGACACAATCTTCCGACCTATTCCACGATGAGCTGAAAGGCGTCTTCATGATGATTGGACTCAGGCAACGGTTCCTAACCGTGACCTTGGCTATCTGTGGACAGGGGTTACCAAGTTTCGGCTGCGGGCTTCGGGCAAACCGTGCACTGCTGAGCAACTGGCCACCACCTTCCCGACAGGCTCTGAGGCAGAGCTCTTTCCGCGCTACGCAGGTGACCAGTTTCCAGATCATTGGCCTCCAGAGCGGATTAAGAAGGCAAAGCAGTACTACCGCGCCATGCCTGAGGAGTTCTACAGCCAGTCCGGCCGGCGGCCTATCACCCCGCGCAACTTTGATGTGTGGATGAAGAAGACTCGCGGCCGCAACCTACGGCTCCAGTTCCAGGAGTTCTGTTCTGGCAGCGGCAGGCTATCACTGCTTCTCCTTGCTGCAGGGTTTGCTGTGGCGTTTCCCGTGGACTACCGCTACGGCTGGGGCATGACACTTCCTCGGCATCAAGCGATGTTGCACGAATGTTGTCAGGAGTTCCAGACAGCGCATCTCTTTGGGGCTCCGTCGTGCGGTCCATGGTCTGTATCTTCGAGTTCCAAGGAGGCTGGTGCCCGAGATGCCGCGGCGCGCTGAGCTGCCGACCTTGTCCTTTCTTCATGACACTTTTCTTTGGCAGCGCAACGAAGGCCGCGCCTTCACTCTGGAGCAACCTCGTGGTTCCTCCATGTTCACAGACAGTCCCATCGCTCGACTCTTTGATCACGATGGCATCTTCAAACAACGTCTGGATCAGTGCATGCTGGGTGCTCAGGATGAACTTCAACAACCTGTTCGTAAGGCTACGGCCTTCCTCAGTAACAGGCGCTGGCGCGCCATTCTCAAGCGATGCGGCGGTCACAAAGGCCGAGCCCACGGTGTTCTCCAAGGCCAGATCAACGGGGTCAATCGTACTGCCATGGCAGCAGTCTACCCGCAGAAGTTGTGCAAGTTGTTTTCCCAGGATCTGGCACGGCTTCTTCGTCAAGACGGTCTTCATCGATGTCCCGTGTGGCCACGGAGTCTGTTCTGGATGCACGGCTTCTACTACTCCTGCGAGCGTTGCAAGTTCGGCCGTGCTTGTCCTCCGGGTGTTGAACACACCTTTGTTCCTGGAGAATGTCGCTACGGCCAGCCGCATCATCAACCACATGCATCACCAGCGCCGCGCACGGATGCTCGTGCGCAGGCAGGCGACCTTGAGGATCCCACTGACCCTTTCAAGTTCCTGGCGCGCAGTGGGGACTACTCTGGCGTGGTCCTGGACGTCCACTCTAGCATCGAGCTCCTTCCCGAATCGCGGCTCTACTTGAAGGCCGCTCTCATGCAGATGGTCGAGGCTGGTCTGGGCATCTTTGAGGAGGCCACCGCCATTGATTACGACCACTGGGTGGACGACCTGGTCTTGCTTCGCGTGGTCCAAGATGCCTTTGCGCCGCACTTTCGCGTCTTGGCCATCATGCTGTCCCTGCGTCCATGGACCCGGCGCACGCCAGATCCTGATTTGTCCTCGGCCTGTGCACCTCTACGTCTGCTTATTGAAGGTGATGTTCGTCGTTGGCGTGTGAACGCTGTTGAAGACATGCGCCTGCTGTCGCACCAACAGTTGCACGCTCCTGTTGAAGAGGCCGACTGGCATGTACACCTCTTTGGTCATTGGCACGATGATCCTGATGTTGACAGACAAGGCGCTCGCTCCTCTGCGGCGTCTCGGCCTGCGGCTCCTCTTGTTCCGGCCGAACAGAAAAATGGTGGGGATGAATCCACTTCTTCGCGAACCAGGCGTCCTGCGTCGCCATCTACCTCTTCGAGACCTCAAGCAGCCTTGGCGCCGCCTGAGAGTGCAGACCAAGAAGGGCGAGAGCAGGCTGAAGAAGAATTCGCCATTCGACCGGAACCTGGAGATGAGCAACCAAAGACCTTGAAGCCCCTCTACGACTTCCGCAAGGACTTCCGCAACATGCTGGTCAGAGCAGGTCTGGATGGCGCCGTCCTCAAGTTGGCCGAGGAAGCGATCATGAACTGCTCCATCTGCAGAAAGCATGTCCGGCTTCCACCTCGGCCCCAGGTGAAGATCGGATCTCAGGCTTCGAGCTTCAACAGCAGAGTTCAATGCGATCTCTTCCAGTACAAGGAGACCTGGATCCTCTTGATGGTGGATGAGGCAACCCGCTACAAGGCGGCGATGGCCGTGAGCTCTCGAGAACACAACGACCTCCTCCAGCCGATGCTGAAATGGTGGTTCACGATCTATGGCCCTCCGGCGCAATTGGTCCTTGACCAAGAGTCCTCCCTGATGAGTCATCAAGCAGGGAAAGAATTGGAGCGCTTTGGGATTGAGCGAGTTCCCAAGGGCACGACTGCCGGGCCAGCAGCGGCCCAACATACAGGGACAGGACTCGCCGAAAGGCATATAGGACTTATCGAAATTACTATGGCAAAGTTAGAGGCAGAGCTTGACAGGCAGGGGATTGCCATCGAGATCGACGACCTGTGCAGGGAGGCAGCCACCGCGCAAAACTCCTCGTTAAACTATGGGGGAGCAACCCCTGCGATGTGCGTCTTCGGCATCCTCCCTCGACCGTACTTTCAAGACGACGCAGACCATGTCACTGCCATTACAGGTGCCTTACAAACGGATGTTACTCCCTTCGAACGAGCCATCCGAGTACGGCAACTGGCACTCTCGATGGTTCATCAAGCAATTGCTGAGGACCGAGTTGCTAGGGCCAACAAGACGAGACCACAGCAACTCCGGCTTGGAGAGCTGAAGCCCAGCGTGAGCTTGATCGACTTCTACCGAGAATATCAAGGAGATGTTGGATGGCGTGGACCCGCCGAACTGCTCAGGCTCAGCCAAACCGAGGGGACTGCCATCATTTCATACCAAGGCCGTCCATATCTGGTCTCGCTTCGGCGCATTCGACCCCATGCTGCCCGAGTGTTTGTGACGCTGAACCAGAGCCAGAAGGATGACTTCCAATGGTTCAAGAAGGTCCTTGAGACCCTCTCTCCGTACAAGGCGGTGACCATCGGCTGGGTTCCCGAGGTCAGAGGCGAGCTTCCACTACGTCTCTTTCGTACGATGAGGCATGGACAAGGCTGGTCTCTCTCTCCAAGGCCATTTCCAATCGCAACGTTGGTGGCATCATCATGGGCCAAGGCATCCGGACGGTGCATCCTCCTAGGGGAACAGTTGGGGTCCTTCTGGTGTGGAAAGCGAGCCAAGACAGCTACGCTTGCCACGAGCACAACAATGATGACCCCATCACTGTGAAGAAGGTCACTGCCATCCCGATCGACGAGGTGGCCTTCCTGTACCTCTACTTCGTTGTCACGGTGGACTATGAGCCGGGGCCATCCTTGAAGGTCGTTCCCTCTGAAGGTGCGATAGACCATCAAGAGCCCATGCAGGTCGACATGCCTGTCGAGACACCTAGTGATGGCGATGGACCGATGGATGTGGATCGAGATGTGAAAAGAAAAAGTCCAGACTCCCGAACAGCAAGCGAGAACGGCTGAATGCCTTCCTGGAGGTACTGTCGTCGTCGAGAGTGACCACCCGGACCCAGCGCAACCTGGCGAACTTCTACTGGATGATGAGACAACGACAACTTGTCAAGTGGGACTTCCCCATGACATGGTACCTGCGTGACAACCACCACGCCATTACTCAATGGGATGAGTTTGCTTGGCGGTCCGAGATGCCAAGGTCCTCTCCTTCCACGACTACCAGCTTTCTCTTTACGTGGCCAGGCAAGAAGCACGAGACATTGTTCGCGTCCCTCCTGGACGGGGAGATCTACAAAGTGGATGACGAAACTGATAACATCTCCGAGAACCAGGTGTATGACATATGGCCCCAAGTGGACAAGGCGGATGCGGATGAAATAAAACAATTTGTTGACACCGGCAGCTTCAAGAAGGTCCACGTGCAGTCGATTTCCAGCGACACAGTGGTGATCGATAGCGTGTGGATTCGGAAGTGGAAGCGTCACCCTGACGGCTCACGACGTGTGAAGTCGAGATTGTGCGCCAGGGGCTGTTTCGACAATCAGCGGGACGCCCTGTCAACGCGCTCGACAACAGCCACCAGGCTGAGCCAACGCATCCTTGTCTCCACGGCTGTGAACCATGACCACGACACTGACGTCTGGATGAGTGGGCACTGCTTTGCATCAAGCCCATTTATGGACTGAATGATGCTCCCTTGGCTTGGCAGCTGTGTTTGCATGGCCACTGGGAAGAACAAGGAGGAGTGCCGTCGCTGCTGGATGAGAACTACTTCATCTGGCGAATGAAGGACAATGACCGGGCATCTGTGACCACTCACGTGGACGATTGCGGGGCAGAGGGCCCACGCAAGTGGCTGGACGAGCAGTACAACCTTCTTGTCAAGAAGTTCGGCAAGGTCACGAGGCAGACGCTTCCGTTCACTCATTGCGGTGTTGTGTACCGTAAGGTCCCTGACGGCGCACGCATGGAACAGGATGACTTTTGCCGCAAGCTGAAGATGGTGGACATCGACCAGACCAGGCGAGACGAAGACGACCTGACCTCTTCGGAGCTTACGTCTTTTCGGTCGGTGCTCGGAGGTTTGCTCTGGTTAACAGCCACTCGCCTCGACATCGTTGCAGAGGTGTGTACCCTGCAATCGATGGTGACCAAGGCAAAAATCAGTCACCTGAAGCAGGCCAACGCCGTTGTCAAACGAGCCCAAGCTGAGATCGGACAAGGTCTCGGACTGTGCTACCGAAAACTGCGGGCTCCATATCGGTTGGCATGCATCCACGATTCCTCTGCGGCTGGGAGCACTCGACAGTATGCTCAAGAAGGCATCATGGTAGTCCTGTTCGGAGGACAAGCTCAAGGGCTACGACTCCTACGAGCACGTCATGGATGACCACATGACCCACAAGCTTGGTGGCAAGTGTCATATCTTGTGGGCGCACGGTGCCAAGGCAAAGAGAGTCTCCTACTCCACCTCTCATGCCGAGACACTTTCGGCAGTTTCTGGTATGGAGACTTCGACACTTGTGGCGGTCCGCTTGGCCGAGCTCCTGTACACTCCAAAGCCCCCGACGATCCAATCACTTCTTTTGCTCCAGGAGGGCGGTGTACCAGAGCTACCCTGCGATGGGTACACAGACTGTAAAGATCTGTTCGAATTGGCATCGGGATCGTCCAGTGTGCCACAGGACAAGACACAGAGATTGTATGTCATGTCCTTGAGAGAGGCTCGACTTTGTGGGCGTCAAAGGTGGCTCATTCTCACGCCTACTGAGAGCATGGTTGCGGATGCTCTGACAAAGCCAATGTTGGCTCCGCAGATGATGCATCTTCTGAGTTCTGGGGAAGTGCTCTTCTACAACCAGGAGAATCACAAGATGACTCTGCGGCGTGTGCCAAAGATCACGATGATCACCGAGGATCACCTCACCAAGTCCGACAAGGAGCTGATTCGTGACCTTCGGGTGACTACATCAACTACGGCAGCCTGCATGCTGATGTCAAGGTCATGGTGTTTCTGGGCTGTGGCGGCGGCTGCTGTGACTACATCCTCGGCTACCACGAGTCCATCCTCGTCTTCGACCACCACGAGCTCATCACCTTCGGCTTCCACGTGCCCTACGCCAGCTCCGGACGACGGCTGGATGTGGCTACTGTGGCTCACCATCTTCATCATTGCTGCAGAGCACGGCTTCATTTTCTTCTTCAAGTGGCTTTGGAAGGTGTTCTTTGGTGGCGATGCCGCAAACCCAGAACCTGATGCGGAACCTCCGGCTACTCCGATGCCGCCTCCTGCACCACCACAACGTGGTCCTGAACTTCAGGCTGAAGCTCCTCCAGTACCTGCACGAGAAGTGGATCCTGAACTGGAGGGACTTCGTGCACAGCTTCGCGAACAGCGACGTGATCATGCACAGCTTGCTCAGTTGTATGATCAACAGCACGACCGTGCTAATCGTCTCCAAAGGGAGATTGATGCACACCAAGGGGAGTGTCCACTTGGTAGGAACTTGTTTGTTACTCAAACCGGGCGATGTTGGCACATATCCGTCGCTATCAGCACAGGACATTCCGTCACTGCCAAGATTGCTCCGGTAGGTAGCAAGTCCTCCGAAACGCGAGCGGAGTGAACTTGCATTCTGAACCTTGAACCCTGAAGTGTCGCAGCGCTTGGGCCTAAAAAAAGCTAGCTTTCTCAAGTTGAGCAATGCCACTTGCTATGGCAGGCGCTGGCCCGCGCATTCAGATTGAGAGCCAGCTGCCTGGAACCAAGACGGGAATGCGTTTGTTGTTGCTGAAAGGTGGAGAAATGGCAGTGTTTCTGTTGCTGTTCTGCAGCCATTTGGACAATATCCTGGAGCATCTTGTTTCGGAACTGCCCTGCCTCGAGCATGGCTCTTCGCGGCCAGCTGGGTGCTCAGTTGACGTGGGGTTGGTGGTGTGGTGCGGCAGGCGTGCCAGTATGCCAGAGTGCCAGAGTGCCAGAGTGCCTTGCATCTTGCTAAGGGTGACGCCCTTCGGGCCGTATGGCGGCCTCTGCTGGGACTTCCTGCGCCGGGACCCGCAGCGGGTGTGCAAGCAGCGCAAGCACTGCAAACACCACGCGAGGCAGGTTCTTGCATGTTGCGTGTTCGTGAGGAGCGCCAAGAAGAGACCCCCGAGCGCCTGGAACCCCTGGGAGCAGCGTCCGGTGCGGCCGACATCGAGTATGAGCAGTTCATGAAAGCAAAAGAGGCCAGGTCAAACATGGCAAGATAGTAAGATAGATGTCTCCTACTTGCAGGTGCAGAGGGCTATGTTCCAGCAAGAGAACAAGACCATCGTGCACCAATGCGCGGACACAGACATCATCGAAGCTGCGCAAGGCTCGGTGGCGTGCATCGACGGTAATCAGGCAGCAGCTCACGTGGCCTACGCCCTCAGTGACTGTGCCTTCATCTACCCGATCACGCCGTCGTCACCCATGGGCGAGATGGTCGACGAGTGGGCCGCGCAAGGCAGCCGTGGGAGGATTTGGGGATGTTGTTTGCTCATGTGATTCATGTTCATTCAGTCTGCTTTGGAAGGGCTTGGTGTTGTCTTAGAGAGAGGGACATGGAGAAATGCGGTGTGCGGGAGGCCTGCTGAACTGCTATGGGCAGAAGCTCAGCGTGACGGAGATGCAAAGCGAGGCGGGCGCTGCCGGAGCTCTGCACGGATCGCTGAAGGCAGGTGCCCTCAGCACCACTTTCACTGCCAGTCAGCCGGGTTGGCATTCAGCAGATTTTTTTTTGTTTGAGGCTTATTTTGGTTCAGCAGCTGTGATTTCGCATTCCTCGTGCGTTTGGGGAGGCCAGGGCTTGCTTCTGATGATTCCGAACATGTACAAGATTCTTGGTTCTTGTTGAACAACATGTTTACATTTTTTTGTATATCTGGGCCCATGTCAGATTGAAGATGATAATGTTTCATAGTGTTT